AATACATTCCTTATCCACCATATGGAGTATGTCATATTTATCAACCGATTCAACAAAGGAACAAACAAACTCAGAAAGTTACTTAATAGCTGGTACTTCCTCAATGCTCCTACACATTATGTTATGATCTTGTTTCTGTTTGTGTACTGTAAATAAACTGTTTACAAACAGGAAAATGTAAACTGTTCATTAATGTGTCATTAAAGACTGTGGGTGGTTGATTTATAGACCTTTATCAGGAATCCCCTGGTGTGAGCATGATCACCATTTAATCCAGGCTATCAGTACTTAATCCCATCCATAATCCAGGATGTCAGGATTTATGGCCTCCAGCTAATCAGAAACACATACTCCAGGCAAAACAGTCTGCTACATTGTACCATGGAGGTAAAAAATCACAAGGAGGGAGCGATTGCACTTTCTATACTCTCCAAGCAGAGGTTTTGGCTTCAGCTTGTTTTTGACATGGTTTTAGGCGTTTTTATTAGGCTTCCATTTTTGGTACTGGTATCTTTTTTATGCCAGCCAAATAGATACTGCCCTGCCAGTTTAATACTGTAATTTTGTAGCCACCAAAAGATCTGCTTGGAGTAATTATTTCTACCCTTCTGGACTCTGGTAACAGGGAAGATGAAAAACTCGTTCCGTCACCAGTTTTGAGCAACCTTCTGACAATCTAGAAATTCACTCCAAGGTCGTTGACCCTGTGACGCCGACCTGATTATAATCTTTAAATAACTAAGGCCACACCAATCCAATTTGCTGTTTCTCTGATTTGGAAAGTAATGAGCTGGAAAATTAAGTTGGAGGGGAAAGTCTGCACCTTGGCACTCACAGTTTCATTGAGTGAATAAACTTTTCCCTCTTAGTCTTTTATGTTTTCATTTTGACTTTTGCTAAACTTTTGCATTAGAATATCAAAGAAGCATGAAAATAAATTGACCTTACTTAGAAAGGGAAGACCAGAAACAGGTGTTAGAAGGGTGTGACCCTATCTGGCTATTGTCTGAATCATTTCACTTGTGTCTACCTTATCTGATTTTTGATAACTGGTTGCTTGTTTTGTATCACAGGCTGCTTCTAGCTATTTACGGGTGGTACCTAAAAATAAAAGGATACTTCAGCTTGTTTGTTGGCTATTTCAAACCTTTCAAGCATTATATGATGAAGAAAATGTTCTAAGAAAATATTTGGAAAGTAATGAAAATGTGCTAGCAAATGTTAATATCAGACAAATTTCTCATCCAGAATATGTTGTTGTTGTTTTTTTTTGTTTTGCTCCCTGAAATTCACTGGACGTCTTTAAAATCTACAGATCCAAATCAGTGCGCAGGATTGGCCCAGGCTCCTGGCCACCTGTTGATTTCGGGGTCATGTTTCAGGTCAGTGCACAACCACCAATCAAGGAAGATGGATGGATTTTTAATAGCCATATTTGGAGAGGGAGGATTTTCAGGTGCCCTGGCAAAACAAAGAGACTGGAAAGGTGTCATCAACTCAGGACGGTCTGTGTGAAATTGTGAAGAAGAAGGTAGAATGTTTTGGGCACAGGTTGTTTTGAGCTTCTCGTGAATAAAGAATGCTTCAAAACTAAAAAGCAATTAACAAAAAAGACAGTTGACTCAAGATTTGTCGCTGTCAGTTATGATAAGGGACCTATTGTCTTGCGAACTTGACATTGTGATTAGGCAAGCATGAAGCCCAGGAGGGCAAAGTTCACATTTCAACCAGGTTGTTGACATTCAGGTAAAGAGTCAAACGTTTTCCACATAAGTCCTGTTGGCCACTTTTCCTGGGCCAAAAAACATTTCAAAGAAAACAAGTATCTGTCTGACTTTAGGTTCTTCTATCATCTTAAAGACATGGTGTCCATTCCTAGTAGCCCACAAAACTATCAAACAGTACAGGTAAGACGTCGAATCCTGCCAACTGGTTTCTAAGAATCGCGGCTTGTTTTCTCGGAAAGCCACAGGTGCGCAGGTTCTTTATTGACTCCCATTTATGGAGGCTGAACGGGCACTTCATACGCAAGCGATCCCTTTGGCATTTATATTGCACTTTCGGACAGGAAAAGCAGTAAGCCATCGGGTTAGGTGCTAGGATACTAATGGTATTAAACCACAGGAGAATGTGTCATAACACACACAGAGGCATACACCGCTTGTGTTTCAAGATTTAGGAGATGACAGATGCCTTATGGCAGGTATACAGAGGGAAGGCATAACAAGGGAAACCGAGAAATCAAAAGCTTTTGAAGATCAATGCTAATTTTCTTCTGTTGTGTGTAAATTCGTTTTATATAAGGGGAGAACACACAGTTTTTACTTTTAAGAATTAATTCTTATCTTCCTAAATGTTCTTTCTTTTTTCTACAAAGTTTCTGGAAAGGACATTTCTATTCCAGTATGCCTCTTGCAGAGATACTAGTGGTCACTAAATAATGCCGAATTGGACAATACGAATATATAAAGAGGGAAATACACAATTTTTTAAAGACTTGTCTCTTTTACTTTTTTTCTGTAAGTCTAAAAATAGGCAAAATTGTTGGAAGTTTTGTTAGGATTTTTTGGGGAAGTGTTATATTTAACTGACAGTCCATTCCTTGAACCTGCCATCTTTTATCTGAGAAAAACTTCCGACTATCTCCCAATCATGAGATACACTGTCTCTTCTGATGACCGTGCTATCTTCGTGCCTGTTGCCGCTGACAAGCCACTATCACACTGTGATAAAAGATGGACTTGGTCGTTGCTTCTTTACTCCTTGACCTACAACTGTATTTGGCAATGTGATATCCCAGTACAGTGTTGATTTGATTACATGAATGACATCCACGTGCGAATGAAATGAATCTTCATTTAAAAAAAGGTTTCGGCCATACTGTGAATCGTATACTAAATAGCTGCAAAATGAGCAAATACATGCCTCAAAAACTATTCAAAAACAACACTAATGTCATACAATGCCAAAATCAATTCAGCCAAAGGAAAAGAAGAAAATGTGAAGAAATGAAAAAGAAGAGTCTATTATTCACATTACCATACTCTTTGTGTTTAATCAGTTGTTCAACCTTCATGATCAAAATAGATTTCAGAATGAAGGCAACTCTTTTTTGCCAAACTTTTTTTTAATCAGCACACTCGCATCAGTTTTGGGGTTCTCAGAGGATGTCAATAAAATCAACAATATATTAGCCTTAACACTTGCTTGCTTGGTTGAAAACTGCCTGCTATACAACCTGTTCCTGTTACATTGTACAGGAGTTGACACACATGTGTCAACTTAAGTGGGACTCGTCAAAACGATAAGGGCTTCGTTATCACGTAGAGGTCCTGCCCCGAGCGTGGAAAACATCCGTAGATATCGTGCTTCCAGCTGTGAGCCTTTCCTTGTCACTTCCCAACAAGGAATTTATAGATACTTGGAGAAACCTTGAACGATGGCCAAGTTTGTGAAAGGTGAAAGAACTTTGCCAACTGTTATAAAGACGAGTTACAATTTGAACAGGGACACATCAAAACCTGTCATCTAGAATACAGGAAAAGCTGCTTTTGCTGATTGAATGAATTTTATATTTTGAGCAGATTTTCATTTTAAGCAAATATTTTGTGAGAGGGTCAGCATGACATAACAGAATAATAAAAGAAAAGTCTTACAGTATCATTTTGTACAAACAACAAAAGAATTGTATTATGACAAGAGTCGGCCCATTATTGTAACCATAATGTGAAAAGTCCGACATGTCCCCTCCGGCAGAAAAAAAACCATCTTGTCAGAGAAACAATGGGAACATTTTCTATATTGATTATCCAGAATTCTTCCTTTACTAACATTATCATTAATTTCCATAAAAGGTGGAGAGTTCAACTGAGGACTCTTTGTGAAACTTTGTGTGCCAAGCTAGACACTTTGCCCCCAGACACTGCTTCTAACTTCATTTTCCAAGTCAGCATCATCTTTTTGTATCTGGAAACCCCCCAAAAATGGCCAAAAAGGAGAGTTCTATGCTGTAAAGTGAATGAAAATTGTAGCCAAGTTAAAAGTGCAGCATGTTGCCTCGAGCGGGTGAAAGTTTTGACAACAAACATCTCTTCCTGAGGACAATGGGAAGATGACACCGGGTGTCACCGAGTGAACCGGTGTGCCGGCCAGAATGTGATAGAACGATTACGAGTGTGTACGGACCGACACGAGCGAGCTTATCACCGCGGAGGCTCGTCACGTACACACCAGCGCCCGGAGATTACCGCAAATTGCAGATGCTGGAAATTCTTAGCTCTTTCAGTAATCAACGCAATCTTGACAGGCGCTGCAAGTCTTTAATTGATTTACGACGAGGATAATAAAAGAGGAAGAAAACGATAAGGAATCAGGCAGGTCGGTATTAAGAAAACAACGTGAAAATCCTTCCTTAATGCTTACTGTACACAAACCAACGGGTTCATAAATAACAAGGGAATTTCATACTTTCGCAGTTTGGACATTTTGTGCAAAGGTGAACATCTTTTTATTTAACACCAATTCAGGGCTCTAGCCCACTCAAAATTTTTTCCATCAGCTTGATGTTCATGATCAGACCTGGGGAGAGATTGTTCACAATCTAGGGGAACCTGGAGCCAATTGCGAACTTCCAAGTATTCTCTTAAAAACACAATTTCCCACATTTAGAGAGGCAAATCATGGGGTTGAGAGTGGTTGGTGGTGGTCCTTTGGATGTTTTTATATCTTTTCCAAAGATTTTTGTCAAGTTTGCTTGATGGATTGTTTTAGACATTTTTCTGTCACACGCTGCAAAGTTCCTGCAATTGAATGAAAAACTGGCTAGAGCCCTGCACCAATTATACAAATCCTTTTGTCTGTACTTACCTGGGGAGAGAGTGCTCACAATCTTCTCTGGGGAGTCCAGGAGCAAATTTGGGATTTTCAAGCCATTTAAAACACAATTTCCCATATTTTTAGAGCCCTGAACCAATTACTCATATCCTTCAGTCCGTACTTACCGTACACTTGTTGGGTTTCTCCCCGGAGTGGACCCTCATGTGGATGAGGAGCTTGTAGCGAGCATTGAAGGGTTTGTACCGCCTGGGGCAGCCCGCCCAGAAGCAGGTAAAGTCCTCGCCCTTCCGCTGGTCGATGTGAACCTTCTCGATGTGGCGGACCAGCTCCTCTTGCTCGGTGAACGTCATATTGCAGTCTATCCAGCGACAGACGATCGGCGACTCCCCGTCGTCTTCCTCGAACTCCAGCGCCCCGTCTCGCGGGGACTCGTCGCCGTGCTGCAGGGCAGGCTGGGATATTCTGTGGTGCTGGTTGTACGGCGGCGGGGGAGGGGGCGGCATGGCCAGAGAGTCTGAGGTGGGGGGGTACGGGTAGTCAATGGGTTCAGTTTTGAAAATCTGCATGTTGCTCTGGTCGGCGGAGAGCGCATCCTGCTGGTGCGTGACGACCATGCGGTTTTGCATCTCCGGTCCGTACTGTCCATTCGCCTGCTCGAGACGCTGCATCCGGAGGTACTCCATCCGATTGCTCGACGAGCCGTCGAAGACCTCATCGGAATGCCGGTGGTTATTGGGCAGGGAGGCGTGGCTGAGGGGCGTGGTGGTGAAGTAGCTCCGCGTGTTTCCCGAGCTGTGCGACTGTGGGCTGCTCAGGTTTGTTCTCGCCACAAGATGGCCGTATCCTGAATAATAAAAAATTGTCCGTTTCTGAGTGGCAAATTTACAGATCATGCAGGAACTTATACACACATGGAAAAGAAGGATTCTTACAATCTATGAAATGAAATTGAAAATCAAACTGATACGTTATCAAATGAAAAAGTGGAAAACCGAAATTAGGAGAACAAACCTCCCGGTGGGATGCCAGGCTGGGGAGAGGCGCTCGCAGACGAGCCTCTCGAACCGTTGATGTAAGCTACCAGCGACGTCGGGGACGTTCTTATGATCATGTTCAGGTCCAGGCCCTCGTTGGAGAGAGGGGAGAGAGACAGGGCCCGTTTGCGCCCGCGGCCGGAGAGGGAGGACCGCGCCGAGTGCCGCGGGCTGGCAAAGCTGGAGCCGCCGGGCGAGGGGAAGTCCGGGATGGGGAATGGAGAGAGCGAGTTGCTGCTCGTCGCGTAATGAGACATGGAGCTGCCCGGAGGGAGATAGTAGTTGTCGCCCAGCTCGCTCCCCAACGAACCGTGGCCACTGGCCGGGGTCAGCAGGGCCGGCCCCCGCGACCACTCCTGCTTGATGGACACGGCGGGGCCCAGGAACGCGCCCTTCACGGACTCCGAAGAGCTCCTGGTGATAGACCCCTCGCGGGACATCATGTGGTGGCCATGGGGGTCACGCGGGGTCATCCTGATGCTGGAAATGTCACTTGGGGGCAGGGGGAGGCGGCGGGGAGGTTGAGGGATGGAGGGGGCGGGAGGGGCATGTTCCTCAGGAGCGATCCCTGGTTCTGCGGCTGCTGGTGAGACGAAAGCGAGTGGTGGTGGTAGCTCGCGCTCGATGTCGGTAGCGGGTCCAGACGCGGGCTGGGGATCGTCTGCGACGTCATGGCGCCGTGCGACACCTGACCTGGGTTCATGCACGACGATCCGAACACCATTTCTACAGGGACAACAAGGAAGAAGGAAACAATCCAGTTAGGCCACTTACAACTTGAAAGTATAAAAAGCATTATATATAGCAGACTTAAGGTCATACCAAGCTAATTTCAGAATTGACATGGACAATTGGCATTGAAAATCAACATTTCATGTTAATGTTTAATGTTATGTTCAGAAGGCAGGTGCCTATGTTCAGGTGTTATCACTCCATCATACCACAAGTCTGGTTCACTGACCTTGCACATTATATTTTATAAGTACCCATTTCTGACATATGCCACCTGTTAGCTTCATCAATAGAACACCTCATAAACACTTTACAGTAAAACCTGGACAAGTGGCCAGGTCTACACTCTACTTAAAGACCACCTGACCAATTTCACCACATTTTGGTAATTTTTCCCCATTGACACAAACATGAAGAATCCTGTCCATAGCGACCACCTGTCCACATATACTATAGACCAGATTTTATCAGTCCTGAGTAGACAGTTTTGCCTGTATTTTCATTGCCACAAAACAAGTTAGAATGTCACTGAAACTGTCAGTATGTTCAACTGTATTGTAGCATCTTGTATTCACGTTTATCATTTTGCTAGTTCATTCACCTTACACATTATTGCCCTTTATACATATCTGCTTATGACACATGCCACCTGTTAGCTCCATTAATAGAAATAGTTTATTTTTATTGCCACTCACTAAGTTTCTCTTTTGCAGATTAATGACTTTGCTGTGTTGAGACTGTAATGTGCAGTACATGTAGAAGGAAGCAACTCTTTTCTAGCCGTTGAATGTTGCTGGCAAAGCGTGACACTGTGTACTCAGATCTTCACTTTTGCCTTTTCAGTTTCGAGGCTGGTGTGTTTCCAGTCAGCCCCAAAGTAAATGGAGGGTACAGTGCAGAGCATAATGGGATATACGATGCCTGACATTCTTTTGGCTGTACAACTTTTGGAACATTTTTTACAAAATTTTACTAGTTCGGATTCAGAACAAGAACACGGACTTTCCAAAAGCTTTGATACTAATCAAACTATTTAAAAAGCTCTGACGCAGACAAAAGCAGCATCGTATCCATTTTCATCTGCGCTCATTTCGCGATGTTCTGCGTCGGGAGGAAATCGACTCCCGGTGTCGCATGTCCGATCCCTATAGTCTGCCTTTTGACTGCCAGAAGCGCTCAAGCATGAAGAGAGCCTACGCTCCCCTTTTGACAGACTGGCTATTTTCAGGGCCCAAATCTCTCTCGCCAATGAGTGGCCAAACCTACCATGACGTGTTAATTGGGGTTGGGGGCTTTGCTTTTGCAGAAAGAGGATTATCTCCGCGTCTGGAAGAATGTATGTTGCTGGTACAACATCAGACCATTAGGAGGAGAGAGAGAGTTCGTGCCAGTGTTTTTCCAGCGTTACATGTGGCTAAGTGCTCGTTGTATAGGCACAGGAAGTGGCCCGGTCGTCTGACCGAAAGAACGATCTCCGTTAGGTCGACCACGCAGTAGTTTCTGCTGACCTGTCACTTGATAATGTTACATCAGACACAGAGAACATCTAAAAAATCAGTATCAGCAACTGTTTAGCAAGACTTTACACACCATTACACAAATTTGGGATAACGAAAGCATTATCACAAAGCTGACCAACCTATACTACAGTTTTTAAAAGTTTTGAATTCCAAATTTTTATTTTACTTATGCTTCCATATTTATCTGTTTTCCCTAAAAGTTGGAGACTATTTTTAATTAGAGAGCCTTGGTATACTAAAATTCCAGGCAATTCATTCTATTGCTGACAATTTGAATACAACTACGTGCATCTATATAAATATAGTTGCTGTCTTATTTCTCACATTATCTTTCCAAAATAAACTCTTTTGAAACTATCGTATTTGCTGTGTTCTGTTTGTGTTATTTTGAGTATAAAAACCCTGACAGTGGTTTATATACGATAAACAACACACAAAAGAAGCCAAAGTTCGCGTGTATTGTTAAGAGGTTGGTGTGTGTCTGTCCACTTGGGCCACAGGAATGTTTATGAGTGTGATAAAGAAGAGCACATACCTAACCGGTTCTGTAGAACATGCGCACCTGGTCAGCCGGTAAACACTTCACCTGACAGGTTTTCACAAGGACTGATAGCTGCCGCATAACTTTGTACAATTATCTCAAAATCATTGCATTCCAAGGTCTCAACTATTTAATTTGTTGGCTCTGAATCTTAAAGGCATCCAATGCATTTTCAGGCCGGCAATTAGAAAAAATATTCTGGGTGAGGAAATCTGTCTGATATTGACTTTTAAGTTTTACTGTAATTTTTTTACACTTTCATCATCATTTCATACTTGAACCATTTGAAATATTCCAAAAACAAGCTAGTGAGGAGTCCCCTTTATTTTTTGGGTACGGCCAATAAATAGCTAGAACATACGATACAAAACAAGCAACCGATTTCTGTCAGCAACATCACATTTTTACCTCACAGATATCAGTAATATGCTATTAGATATGGTTGATTCAACTTTCTACGATTAAAAAAATGACCAGGAAATAGACTTGGGCAATCCAGTTTTACTGCCCTGAAATAATCAAGAACATGAAAAACACAGTCTGACTCTGCCCTGTTGCTAAAGTTTTACTTCTTTAACCTCCTAAAGGTTTTTTTAAAAATTGCCAGGAACCAACAAATAAAGTTGAAGATTATTGAAGATATACTGACTACATGTCAAAGACAAGAAAATGACAAGTCTTGAAATGAAAAATAGATGTTAAATTGACTGAAATAAAAGTGTTCTGTAAAGAGTTGCTTTTGGGTACTCTGCTGAATCTCACTTTTGACAGCAAAATTAGAATACAATAAGCTATGTCTGTTTCCCTGTCCTTAATTTATGCCTTTGCACAGTATGACTACTAATTTGCAATTAATCATTCTATATGCCAGCAGTTTCCCATTGCTAGCCTTCACCACCACATTTTCTTAACCAAATTATCAGCTTTTTTTTTAAAACTGAAATACGAAACTGTCATATAATGACCTTTCAAAATCAGGTAAAAGTTGAGAAATGGCTGAACTCTTCAAGCAATACAATCAAAATACGATCCTAGCAGATTTGGTTAAGATAAAGCACATGGCGAATAACAATTATCATGACAAGTCACGAGTGTCCAGGGTCCAATATGCTATCACGGGCCAATGTACCGCATACCTGGAATAGTTATTACTCCAGGACAAATCTGACCTCTGTGTCACCTCAGCTGGAGTGTTTACTGTTTATATTCGCCATATCGGGTCCGAGAACGAAATCTACGCAATATGTTTGTTTTGTTGTCGGTTTCGGCCGGGTCCAGAATTACTCTGACTGACTGGAAGATTTTGCAATAGTGCCACATGGAAATAAAACGGTGCCATGAAATCATTTTTGTTGACTGTCCTTTGAATATTTCATGATGAAATGTTTAGTTATGTGTTATCACAATAGAACCCGGAAATTGCATTGACTTCTTTAACAAGGCACACCTTGTCATACCTGGAGGGCGTAGTTTTAGTTCTTTGATGTTGATTTTTCTTATTTTACTTCCTCTACAGGGAAAATCATCTTTGTTGGACAAAATTTCCAAAATCTCTAATGCTCTTGTAGTACTTGGAATTCTCTGTAAAAAAGTTTGTTATAATTGTAGACAACTCCATTTTGCTTTGCAAGACATTATAATGATATCTCTCTCAAATAACACAAAAGACCTTTCAAATAAATTTCAATATAGTTTTTGTCTTTTTATATATTAAGTCTTGAAAATCTACTGATGAAGAAAGCTTCTTTAGCCTCTTCACAGGCTCCTCTTCAATTAAAACTGGCCTTCAAATTTATACGACTGTATTAAAAACCACAGTGACTGTATATGGATTGTTTTCTGAACTCTGCTTCTTAAAATTCAATTGAATTTTTTGTTTCTTACTGTGGTGAAAAGTTGTTGACACAAACGTACAAATAAATAACGACTGGGGTATCTTTACAGGTCACAGTTCGGCAGGTGGATTGTTCAGATGTGCACGGACCATTTAACACATGTCAACAAATAAAAATATGTCCGTATCTTTAGTTTTCATATTTAAAAGAAGTTTATCACTCTCTATGCATCGCCACATGAGACTTTCTGATGTTAGACATTACATCCTTCCCAGTGCTGGAAAATGATTCTTGCTGGCTCTTCAGTAGAAATGTCGCCTCTTAGTTGTGTATTTGCTGCCCAAATAGAGCTTGAAGAGCCGTGTGCTTCAGACGAAATGGAGCCTCCCCAAAAATGCAAGTTTGCTCACTTGATACGACATGTTGCTTACTGCGCAAACCTGGCATGCTCGCCCCTATTGAATAACATGCTAATGTAAAGTTTGCCGACAACTCTGCGCCCTCTGCTTGGGAGACTCAAGCATTTTAAGTAGAACAACGCCAATTTCACAAGACAATCTTGAACTTTTCAATGATTTACATAACCGTACATATCTCTGTTTTATAATAATGTGCACTGAAAGAATTTTTCCCTCTACATTATGTTCAACATTCACATGTTTGTTGTTTCCTGACATTATTTGCTGTGAACACATGTCCCTTTTTAAAGATAGGCTCACCTTGTTTTCAGTTCTTTGACCCATACAATTTTTCAAATAACTCTCAAGAACTTCATATTCACTACAAAACAATAATGTCATATTAGATGACCCAACAAGTAAACTGAAAACATTGGGTGTTTTCAAACTGGCATATAGACAAGACTTAACAGTCAAATCTGTCTATAGTGACCACTTGAGGGCCTTGAAGAAGAAAGCTTGGTATGTAGACAGGTGGCCACTAGGGAAAGGACTCTTCATGCTTTGGTCAATGGGACAAAGTAATCTAAGAGACCACCAAAAAGTGACTGCACTTGTCAGTGGCAGAGGTGGTCACTTTGACTTCAAGCCTTACCAGTGAACAACTAAAATATACTGCTACTACTACTACTACCGACTA